ACTATCTTGAAATTCAGATTAAACTCTTGTTTTAATGTCCTGTTACACACATGAAAGAATAATGCTTATAACTGACAAGTTCTGAAGAGTACAATGGGGGAAGAGATGCAGGTTGCAGGCTGTATACTATCAGTAAATTTTTATTTATTCCTTTTCAAAAAAACTATTGAAAGAAAATATTTTAAAATTCTAACATTTGTTTAATAATAGTCAAGGGCATGTGAATGCTTTTTTTCTGGACTAGGTGACTGGTCTATAGACTTCTCCCCAGCATTCCCTATGTCCTCATTCATGATGACTTCAATATCCATGTAAGTAGTCCATCCAACAAACTGACTTTTCAGTTCTTTTTTAATATTTCCTTCTGAATTAATTATTGACTAACATAAATTGCAAAAGTACTATAAAGACTTTCTATATATTTGATACCCAGACTATACCAAGGGTAATGTATTACATTATCAAAACCAGAAATTTTACATTAGTACAACCAAATCACCTACACTACAGGTCTTATTTAGATTTTATCACTTATTGAATGCATTAATTTCTAGGGTGGGGAGTATAAATTTGTATGTACTTCTATGACATTTTATCACACACAGAGATTTACATAGCCACCACCACATTCAAAATATGAAGSTATTTCTTCACCACCAAAGAATTCTGCTGGGCTACCACTTAATATTCACACTCACCCTATTCTGCTTCCCAAACCCCTAGCAACTCCTAGTCTGTTCTCCATCTCTGTACTTGTCACTTTATAAATGTTATATGAATGAAATTATACATAAACTTTTGAGTTTTTGTTATTCCATTCAGCAAAAGATCTTAATAACCATTCAATTTGTAGTGTATATAAACTGTTGGTGATTTTTTTAATTATATAGTAGGACTCCATTGTAAAAACATRTTGAGCTTTGTTTCACAAATCAGAAGTGAAGTTATATTTGGTTGTTTTCAATTTAACTTTCATAAATCAAGATGATGTGAACATTTATATACTGAGTTTTACATGAACATCGTCTTCCATTCTCTGCGATAATGTACTGGGGAGGCATGTTAGGTAGAATAAGAAGTGTGTATTTAATTTTGTCAAAACTGATATAGAATTTTCCAGAGTAGTTGGATCATGTTATTTTCTCACTGGCAACGTATAAAAGATCTGGTTTATCCAAATCCTTCAATATTTGAAACAATTTTTTTTATTTTAGCCATTTGAAGAGGGGTATGGGTAAAACCACTATGGAAATCAGTAATAGAGATTCCTCAAAGGAATAGGAATACAACCACCATTATGACCCAGTATACTACAACTCAGTATTTATCCTAAAGAATTTATGTCTATATAGCAATATAGGCACACCATGTTTAAAGCAGCACAATTCACAATAACCAAATTATGGAACCAACCTAGGTGTCCATCAGTGGATGAATGGATAAAGTAAATACAGCATTTATGCACAATGAAGTTTTATTCATCTATAAAGAAAAATGAAATTATGTCATTTGCATAAAATAGAAGAAACTTGAGAACATTATGATAAGCAAAATAAGTCAAACATATGGGCATGGGCCATATGTTTTTCTCTCATATGTAGAATCTAGAGAGGAAAAGGAATAAAAAGGTGTGGAAGAGGGATCTCATAAAATTGAAGAAACATAGTAGAGTAGGGGAAAGGGACCAGGTGAGAGGAAAGGAGAGAAAAGAGAAATACTGGAGAATGATATTGGTCAAATTATATTGTCATGTTTGTTCATGTAAAATTATGTAACAATAAATTCCACCATTATGTACATCTCAAAAAGAAAGCTAGAATCTCATGCCCTCAAAAAAAGAGAGGGGATTCTTGTGTACAAAATTTATCGTGGCAAATTTGGAACCTCTATTATTTTGAAAAATGGCAGAACCATTAGGACACAGAAGCCATCAGATTCCAAACCGTATTTAGGATGGTCACTACCTTTGTCACTGAACTTGGGTAGGTCAAGTGAGGCTCAGAGGTCAAGTGCCCATGAGTTAAATCCCCAGCACCCCCCAACAAAAAATATTTGTTGAACTGACAAATTGAAAAGATTTCTAAATATTTTTAAATAGCTTGCTCATTGGTCAACTTTTGTTATGATGAAAGGGTAAAGTTTCTAAGCTGCAAGGCCTGAGTTAAAAAGTGAAGGACCAGGTATTGTTAAGTTCCTCTGCTACACCAAGAACCTGAAATTCCTGAGGCAGTTAAGACAACACCCTACTGGCCATTCAGTTGATTAATAGCCTAGGGCCCTGTGCAGCTTGTCACGTAGGCATACAGGGCCCGAACCAATCAGTTTGAATGTCTACCCCACTTAGGAGTGACCAATCACCCCTGCCCGACCTGTTCCTGCCAATGAATGTACTAATCAAGTTTAAGAATTGTTGTTTGATTTTCCCGCGCCTCATGATGATTTGTCCTGATGTATGCAAAGCCTCTGCCCTCCCCAAAAAGTGTACTTAAGCACTGCTTAACCTCTGCTCGGGGCTCTGTGCTGCTCTCCCTTCTTGAGTGAGCACGGAGCCCCAGCGCGCTGGAATGGATCCCCAATATATCCCCTTCTGCAATTGCATGAGTCAGTCTCTTGGTGGTCTCTTCCTCTGACRCTTCGCGGGACACTTACAATTAGAATTAAATACCTGACAGGCTACTCATGAAATAAAAAGATTCATCTACCTCAGTTTTGGAGGTTGAAAATTTGAATACCATAGCCCAGACTCTGGGCTAGGCCCCAGTGGATGGTGGGAGTGCAGGTAAAGCACAGACAGCTGGTAGGACAAGTTAGCTCCTTATATAATGACTGTATTCCCAAGAACTCAAAAGAGAGTTCACATGAGAACAAAATTCCAAAGTTCTAAGAGTACACTCCTAAAGACTTCCCATTAGACCCCACCTCTAGGTTCCATGGAACCTCCCAATACTAGCCCCCTGGGAACCAAGCACCAATCACATCTCCTGCAGTCATCTCCTGATTTAGAGAACAAGGAAGTAAACTCTGATGTCACTCAACCTGAGAAAGGCTCGTCCCTTCAGCTTGGTCAATTCTCCATCTCTGGACAGGAGAATAATGGTAAAAGGTAACTGTGAAACCCAAGAACTGTCAGATTTCCTCTTTGACCATTTAAACCTCAGCTTCTTCCAATGTTAAGTGAGAATATTACAATAAATAGATTTTAAGGAATACTTTCTAAATATTGGGATACTGTAGTATATAAAACATATGTAATTTATAGAGCTTAATGATTGATGAGGAAGACAAATGCAATCCATTCTAAAACAGATGTACAAACTGCCTTGAGTAGGAACAGCAGAACATTTGCATTTTTATATTCTCCTATTTCCTATTCAAGGCAACCAAAACTATGGGAGCTTGTCTAAGATAACTCATGGTGGATGCATTCATTTATGGATGCCTTTCTGAAGGCCTGGAGGAAGGTGTTTCTACATTCCACATGAGGGCTTCCTGATATGGTAAATCCTCTGGATTCCAAAGCAATGTCCGCCTTTTTAGGGCAGTTGCCATCTGTTCCTAACTTCCACCACTTCTCTTTTGTTCCCTATGTTATTGGCTTTTCTGCCTCTGTTTCTAAAGCTTGTTTATGCTAGATTTTATTTCATCCACAATTTTGACTGCCATCGTGGATATAACTTGGAAATTATTCCTGTTCTTTTCTCTCATACATGTGTAATCAACACACAGTGGTGGTAGGTCCCAAAGGTTGGTCAAAAGGGTAGAACATGATGGGTTTAAATCCACAGTCTATGAACCAGGGGCTAATCACTCATCCTTTTTTTTTTCCGCTCCAATTACATCCTCTGTAAAATGAGGGAAATAGTAATTCTTATTTTATAGGTTCTTGGTTTAAACACATAGTAAATGCTCAATCAGCTCCTATTAATCACTAAGATAAGAACTGGTCCTCTTTCTCTAGTTGAAATCTGCATGAACAACTCACTTTATATCTCAAAGTCCTATACACTTTCTATTTCCTATAGACTCTTCTCACACAAAAGCTTTCACCAACAACAACAAAAATACTCTACTAAGGATCTGTTAGGAGAGAGACTGGAGTAGGTTTAGGTTATGCACTCCCCAGCACACAACTCCCTCCATTAGATATTTCTGCACTTCAAAAACATTTCAGTGACAGTCTGACCTAACTCTTAGCACTTCCTCTTCTATACTGATGAGTTATTCACTCAGACACAAATCTTGCCCACGCACTGCACCAAAATGCTTCTAGGTATTCAGCAAAGCTATATTGCATTCTCACTCCAAGGCACTTCAGCAATCATCATCAGTTATCTGGTCACACAGAATAATTCTAAATACTCCACAGCTGTCCACAAAAGAATGATGATGAATGAGATTTTCTTCACCTTGTATGTGTGTGTTATGACACCATTTTTGCCTTTTCATTTTTATTTTCCATTTAATCCAAGTCATCTAACACTGTAAGTCTTCTCATTCATGTGCTCATTCAATGAATAAATATTGAGAACACATTGGCCATATACAAAGCTAAGCACTAAGGATATTAAAAAGGCACCTATTTACAATGCCTCACACACTGAGACATTTCAAAGCCCAGCCATCACATCTATCCAACCATGATCTCACATTCCCCTCATGGTCCTAAAGAGGATTACCTGGATAGAACACTATTAGTCACAGGGGTGTCATGATCACCTCTCTGTCTCAATTCTTGTTCCTGAGAGAAAACTTCCAGCCCAGGACAAYATAGTGGCTTATACATAGCTCTAGWCCATTGGGTGGGCTATTTGAACTRCAGTATATTTCCATGTCATTTAGAGGATGTAAAGTGCAGAAGTGAGAGCTTAATTGTGCAGACARTGAGCATTGGATTTGAATCCATATTGCAGGAATACCCAGCTCCTGAAAGTTTACTTTATCTATGCAACCCTGTGTTTTCCTTCTCTTTAAAATGGAGACTATAATTCCCACATAGCACAATGATCCTAAGAATCAGAGATCATGTAGTATGTATTTGAGGCTTGTTTATGTTCCCAGGGGTACTGTTGGAGGTTTTGTGAGCCTGGATACAAACACAACAGCCTGAATAGAAGCTACCAGCCCCCTCCTCCAACTTGGGAATTGCTGACCCTCATCATCACCCTCATTGGATTGGCAGGAAACACAGTTGTACCCTGTGCACAGAAACACCTTYTCCATCTACATCCTAAATCTGGCTGCCACTGACTTCCTCTTCCTCTGCTACCACATCATTGGTTCCCTTCAGGCTGTCATCATCTTCATTCATCCCTCACTTGTCTGTACATMATCTTGAGGATTGTGTCATGTTTTCTCTACATCACAGGTCTAAGCATGTTCAATGCCATTAGCAGTGAGCATTGACTGTCCAWCCTAAGGTCCATCCGGTACCACTTCCGTTGCCAGAAACACATGYCAGCCATCATGTGTGCCCTATTCTGAGCCATGTCCCTGCTCCTGAGCATCCTGAAGTGGTTCTGCTGTTGTATCCTGCTTARGAATTCTGATGATGATTGGTGTAGGACAACTAATCCTATCATAACTATGTGATTGATTTTTTTGTTTGTGATTCTCTCAGGTTCCAACCTGGCCCTGCTAATCTGTATCCTTTGTGGATCCCAACAGATGCCGCTGACCAGGCTCTGTGTGATCATCTTGCTCATAGTTCTGGTCTTCCTCCTCTGCAGCCTGCCCTTTTATAAAAGCTGGTTCCTATTTGTCTTGATTCGGAATTATCCTGATGCATTTATTTATCTTTATCTGGTTTCACTTGTTCTGTCCTCTGTTAACAGCTGCACCAACTTCATCATTCATTCCTTCGTTGGCTCCTTTAGGCAGCAGCTGAAAAGGAGACCCTCGAGCTGTTTCAACAGAGGGCTCTGCAGGACACTCCCAAGGAGGACAATTGTGGAGGCATCCTTCCTCAGGGAACTCTGGAGATGTCAGGCTGCAGAGCAGAGCAGTAATGAAGAGCCTTTGTTCTGGTCCATCAGATGTGGCTTTGGGAGTCAACAATGCCCATACTAACAGCTGCCTGCTCTTCTCTTGGTCTCATGCCCCTAAAATGCCTCAGTGATTTCCCACTGTGTTCAAATGGATTTATATTAACCTGKATTTTCTTGCTTAACTTAGAGAAACCAGTTTGAAATAAGAACATCTCTGCCCTACATACATTTCATTAACATTTTCCTGGAAATGATTTGAGGCCTACCTTGGAAATTACTAGGGAGATTCATAAAAATTTCAGCAACCCACAGACATATTTTTATTCCCAAATTACCCCATGAACATTCAGCCTAAAGATGTGTGAAGATAGATATATTCAATGTCTCTTCCTTCCTTCCTTCCTTGTGAGATTTTTTTTTTAAATCTATATATCCCTGCCTGATAGTTTTGGTTCTCATTGTGCCTGAGATTATGGGAAGCCACCTGTGAAATGTACATATGTTACCGCTGTTGACCGGTGACGAGTCCTTGCTTCCCCAATGTTGAAGAATAACACCAAAGAAACACGCAAGGTCAGAGTAGAAATTAGAAGTTTATTAAAGGACAGCAGAAAAGACTTCTCCTGGAGGAAGAAGGGGACCCAAGAGGTGGAATCTGTGGAAGTGCGGTTGTCTCCCCTTTTTAAAGTTTTGGTGATGGAATGTAGGGGGAAGGGTTGGGACACAGGTAATCTGGGCAGGAAGGACTTATCACTTCTTTGGGATGGGCTATCTCCAAATCTGTTGGGGGCTATTTCCTGGGTTCCATTAACATTTCTTTGGGGTGGACTTTGGCCTAGGGCTTTTCAGGGGCTTCATTAACATTCCATGAGTTGTCCCACGTTTCTGGAATCATTATCAGAGTGGCCTCCATTTTAGATTTCACTGATATTAGACCTGATTTACCAAACTACACTGACTACCTAATTTTAAATCTGGCTTCACATGGACCTTTTCAGCATTGAATCCAGTGAGTGGGAAGGTCTGGTATTTGGGAACTTATATCGGCAATCTCACTGTCAAGATGGCCCCATACATGTGAACTCCGTCTCAGTTCTGCCCACAAAGCTCCCGCGCAGCACCAGAGATGGGTGTGACCTGCCCCCCCCCCTCTCCTGCTTTGACAAAGAACTTTCTATTGAATCCTTTTGATCTGTTCCAATATAAATAAACCTGGGGCAGGCTCCTTTCTTTGTTAGAAGCTGCACCCATCTACCTGATCAGCTTGGCCCATCGCTGTCCCCACTCTGAAACTATTTTTCCGTGTCCTGTGGTTATTTCACAGTACTATATTATTAGCTTTTATTTCTCAGCCAGCCCATCCCTCCAGAGGGGGACCCTTTCCCTAGCCCATGCAGGACGTGAGCCAGATGAGATGTCAGTTTGGGAAATGGGATGATTGGAATCCAACCAAAGAGGTTTTACTAACCTTCTCTGTACAGACCTGCTGTCTCTTGCTATAGATAAATATGAAACATCGACTAATATGAYTATAATGTCCTTCACTGATTCCTTCCACATATAATCTTGGTTTGGATAGCTCTAGGATATAAAAATCTAACCTGATAAATAAGAAGAATCACAAATATGAAAGATGACAGATTATTACTATTTTCTGGGATTTGGAGGTTTTACTCATTAAAAACTCAATCATTCAGAGAAAGGGTTAAACTCTTATTATGGTTTAGATCTGAAGTTAGAACCCCAAAATGTCCCCCAAAATCTCCTGTTGAAAGCATGGCCCCCATGTGGAAAGATTTAAAGATGACTTTTAGGCACTGATTGGATCATGGGGTTCTAACTTCCATTGATAGCTAAATGGACAACTAGATGTTGGAACTCTTCTTGGCTCCCAAAATCTGAGCAGTTTTCTTCTGCTGCACTCTCTCACTCTTCCACCATAATGTTCTGCTTCACTCAGACCTAGAGCAATGGAGCTGACTGAACAAAGACTAAAATCTCTGAATCTGTAAACCCAAAGGAGAAAAAAACTTTCCTCCTCTAAGTGTTCTTATAAGGTATTATGAAACATCGACTAATATGACTATAATGTCCTTCACTGATTTCTTCCACCCTTTGCACCCTTTGTATAAAGATGTTTTGGATTTGGCTGCATCATGATGAACCACTACCAATTTGGCTGGATTGAGTACAAATTGATAAAGCATCGATTTTACCTTTAAAAGTCCTTATGAAAATATTAGCCAAGAGAATCCAACATATAATATACAAAAGGAATGATACTACAAAATGAGGTTTATTTCAAGAATAYAATCAATGTTCTTTAAACTTTCAAAAAACACAGGACTAGCCTAAGTTTGAGGATAAGCAAGCACAACAGAGCACCACCCCTGCCTCCACAGATAGCCTAGCACTGACTAGCAAGCAACAGTAGTCCCCCCTGGGGTTGACCGTGCTCATGGGGAGAGACGTTCATTATAGTACAAACATGAAGGTGGGACTGAAGGAGTAGCAGGAACAGTGAGAAAAATTTTCTGGCATCTCAGACCCCATCCTAAGCACAACATCAGCCCATCATTACAAAATTGAGGCTTAGCATGCAGTGAAACTATCAGTACAAACACCATGCAAACTCATCCGACTCTTTTCTAGATCAACTCCCACATACTAATGTCTTAACAGGAAAGGCATGAACCTTTTCATACTTAATAAAATCTACCTTATTTACTTCTATTCTGCACAGATGTTCAACAATGAATCAAAAAATTATAAGATGAGCACACAGGGGATGCAGATCTGTTGGTAGAGTGCTRGCCTACTATGCACAGGTCCTGGGTTCAAACCACAAAACTGCAAAAAAATAAAAATTAAAAAATGACAATAATAAGCTGGGAATAGTGGTGTGCATCTGCAATCTCAGCTACCCAGAAGGCTAAGTCAAGAGATTATGAGGTCAAGCCAGTATGCATGACACAGTAAGACCCCATTTCAGAAAAAAAAAAAATTATGAGACAGAAAAAAGCAAGTAAAAATGTTTCAATATCTATAGAAACAGAGAAAAATGTGATCCAAATGTGCAAAATAACAAACAGCAACTTTGAATATGTTACTAGAACATAGAAGAGTTACTAAAGATTGGGAAGGGTTTAGAGGGGTGGGGAAAGGTGGTTGACTTAATCATTGCATGGTATATGCATGTATGGAAATATCAACTGAACCCCATTGATATGTGCAATTAATACATGTTAATAAGAAATTTATTTTTTAAATGCATAGAGGGAGGAGAAAGACATAGTAGATAAGAGGAAGCGAGCAATTTACAGTTGCTCCACAGTTCAAGATTCAATCAGCAAGCGTATTCCTTCTCAGAGAGGTGTGTGACTGATGGGATTCACTGAAATCAACCCTGGACAGTATAATCATTTCTGTGTCTCTATAATCACATAATCATACTGAATTTCTGTGTTTCTATGATTATGATTATAGAGACAGAAATTTAATAGCTTTGAACACAGAACAAGAAATGGTACACTAGAGATGTACTAGCTTTGGTGGCAGCAGCTCTGTCCATTCACTGTGGAAGGGAGGGGGAATATAGGCAGAAAGAGATTTAAACACACACACACACACTGTGAATAAATTTGTCCCAGGGGAACTTGTAGAATAGAAAGGCAGCTGGTCTTAACTGACCCAGGGACAGCAGGGCAAGCTGATAATTGAAAGATGCTGAGAATCTCTCAGCAGGTGAGTGGAAGAATTGAGATGGAAACCATCTGCAAGTGGTTGCTCGGCAGTTTTCAGGAGTCATAACAGCTTGCCAGCCTGTTCCAGCACATGTCTGTCATGAAGTCCAGAGTTGCCTGGAGCAGTTACCTGAAACAGGCAAAGAAGATTGCTGAAGACTCTGAAGGGAGAGACATTTGTGGTCCCTTTATCTTTGGTGATTCATATGACCAGCTGGGGAGRGGCTATAAACTGGTCAGACAGGCACATCAGCACTCCAAGTCTGATCCTGTGAAATCCACATCCATGGCAGTAGAATAGATGAGCTCTGCAGAAGATCAGATCCCCAGACATCCAACAGAGATTGAAGTCTGCCCAGCAACAGGGAGTGTGGATCTAATCTCAAATACGTTCTGAAAAGTTCCAAAGGGCAGGCAGAACTAAACTCCAGCTGCTGGAACTTCCCACTTAGAACTCTATATTACTAGGGGATGTGAGGATAAGAAAGATAGTAGAAAGAAACAGACATTATTACTTTATGTATGTATGTGACTGTATGACCAATGTGATTCTACAATATGTATACTCAGAAAAATGAGAAATTATATCCCATCTATGTGTATGATATACCAAAGAATATAAAAGCATTCTATTATACTAAAACATCACAGGATGATTTCATTTGCCTCTATGTGGGCATTCCTGTGGTGACTGGGAAAATTATAGTGCTTGGCATTAGGAGGTCTGATCCTAGGAGGTCTG